CCTAGTTTTTTAACTAGGATGGGGTGAGAGACGGTGTCAAAGGCCTTGCTGAAGTCCAGAAAGACTACATCCACCGCGACACCTGCATCCATGGCCTTTGTGACCTGATCATAGAAGGCAATCAGGTTGGTCTGACATGATCTCCCCCTAATAAATCCATGCTGATTGCCCCTGAGCATCATTTCTGATGCCGGCCCCTCACAAATGTGCTCCCACCATTTCAATTTAGGAGTTTGAAACCATTGAAACCCACCATTTCAATTTAGGAGTTTCTGTCACTGTTATGGCAAGGGGCCTGATCCTAATTTTTTTTTCCCGGAGGAGCCTGCCTATGGCTGGGGGTGGGGCAAGCTGCCAGCAGGTTGAGTGGCCCTTGAACTGCAAGGGGCCCTGGTCCTTCCCTTCATGGCAGTGGCGTCCCTGAGGCTGCCCTGGCAGGCTGCTAGCTGATTGGATGCTGCTCCGGCTTGGGGTGGGGAAGAGTTGGATCAGGCCAGGTGCTGCCTCTGAGCTGGAGCAGCACCTGGCCTGCTAGCAACCTGCCTGGGTGGCTCCCAGGGGTGCCACCACTGTGGAGGGAAGGATTGCCACCCACCAGCCACTCAAGAAGTGGGCAGGCTCTGTTAGGGGGTGGGGGGAAGGATTGGACCTCTTGCTGCTTCTGCCTATAGCAGGCATCTGCTGAAGGCAGAAGTGGTGAGGGGCCTGATCCTTTTTTTCTGCAGCGCCTGCTCACCTCTCCTGTGGTTGGTGGGAGAGGTGGGAGTCTTAAAAACAACTAATATATCATTTTAAGAAAGAAATGCTTTAAACCAGCCATGGGGATGCAGGCTAGCTGGCTCTGGTGGTTGTTTCTGACTTTGGGACCTGTTCGTCCTCCCTGTTAATTCCCTTCTTTCATGCAGGACAGCCTGCCTGGCCTCAGCATGCCTATTACACTTGCTGTTTATTAAGGCAATGACTGTAACATAATCTCCAGCTTCCAGGCTTCGTTCTGCAGGGTCAGTAAGGAATTTTATCCTGAGACATAATTGGCTAAACATATCATGTGTTTGTCTATCTGTCTTGCTTTCTTGGAAGCATCAAAGAGTGGCCAGAGCCAAAACTGGGACACAGGGCAATATACACCTGTGCTCAGAGTTGGTACAGAGAATCCTGTTTCTTTGATCGTGGCTGATATATCTTGATCATAGGCTCAGGGTAAAGTGATTGCCAGATTTGTGAATGGGAGGGAATATTTTTCTGGAACAGACTAGCAGGGCCCTTGGTGGTTTTTCACCTTCCCCTGCAGCATGTACCTTAAGCTTATTAGAGTGACAATTACTTGCATTTCTTCGATTGTTATAAAAAGGCCCACAGAGATCTTATACATTCCTCTGATAGCCCGTGTGTCTCACAACAGCAAATGAAGAAGACTTCAAAATGCAAGAGGCGTTCTGCTCCAGTGGGTAAAGCATGGGACTGGGAGTGGGGGCTTTTCTCTTCTGCACCTGCAATGGACAAACAGCATAGCTGCTTTGTCCTTCAGTTTACTCACCTGTATTCTAGGAATGATAATACCAGAGAGATACTGGGAAGTTTAATTATCATTGTAAAGTCCTTGGCGTTTGCTGATGAAAAGCAGGGCAGAGGGGCTGTCACTCAGATGCAAATGCCCAGAAGAGAATTTCCCTGGCACAGGGGAATTTCTTGCTGAAGTATCCAGCTCGTGTTCCTATTTCCCATCCCAGAATAAGGGGCATGTTTGGGCAGGGGGGTTTCAGTTTGTCACTGGAATCTTCCAAGGTGGTTACTATGAGGTTGGGATCCTCCGCAGGTTGATTATGGACCCTCACTCCAGCATAAGCTGCACATTGTTTGGAAACAGCTCAAAAATCACTTCAGGGCTGCCCCTGAGAATCAAGGAGCTGTATCTAGTTCCCTGATACCACCCCGTGAACTGACCAGGCCTCTGCTTGCAGAAGAAAATCAAGCCTATAAATGGGTTGGTGTGTAAAACTTTTTCTAGGCATATTTTTGTGTTATAAATCAATAGGGAATTGTATCAAGGAGCTGAATGAGTCTTCTGTGTCTTGGTTTTCAGGAGAGAATTCTCTGAGCTGCTGGAAAAGTTTGGACCTCAGAGCAACACAGGATCATCCCAGAGTTCTCCAATTCTCCATGGTGGCAGTGAGTACTGAAATCTTTGTGAAGTCAATGCTGTAATGTAGACAACACCTCCAGCATTGGGAGGTCTTGTATCCTTATCTTAGTGCTAAGCTGTTGTTTCATTGTCATATTGTGCTGTTGTTTCTGAATAGGGCTTGGAGGAAGGTTTGCAGAAAAATAAATCCTGACTGTATTTGAGAGAATTCTTATTAGCTGTGTCCCAATAAATGCTCTGATTGTTATATGGCAGTAATGCAGAACTTAAATGCATCTTGGCTGCAGAGCAGCAGAGTAGAATAAACATGGACCCAATAGTTTGTGCAAATAAAGAAAAACAGAGACAGAGATAGAGCGAGAACTATGTTAGGGTGAAAGCAGGGAGGCTTTGGTATCTAACTGTTCTCCAGCTTCCATAACTTCACTTGAACTGTACATCAGTTCACAAAGATACTGCACTAATAAGTTCTAATAATACCTAGGTTTTCAAAAGTAGTTTCCCTCTATGAATATCAAAGCATTTAAGGCTGGGCATATTATTATCCCCCTAGTTTCTGGGTGGAGAAATTGCCTGTGGCAATAAAGCAGGTCACCAGTAGACTGAAAAATGGTGCTCAGGTCACCTAAGCTGTGAATAGCAAACTATGCCATGGACTCCTATGTGGGTTTTCATTAAAGAAAACCCTGTCACAGTGGAACACAGCAGTGTCTGTTGCAAATTACTGTAATCACAGATTTACATTTGTGTTGGGCAAATTAAACTGTATCTATCTTATTCACTTGAGTGGTAGGAATTTAAATTCTGAGTAAGGGACCATGAAAGCAGTTTAAATTCCAGACTAGGAAGCAGGAAAGAAGGGTAGGAGGATGGGGGTGTAAAATACTTTGGTTTTCTTTACTAACTTCAAGTTTACCCTTCAGGTAGGTATTTGGAAAGTACATCCTCAGGGTCTTCATCACGATCCCAGAGTCCTCTACTTCTGAGCCCTGCAAATTCACATGGGCCGTTCATCGGAAACTCGACACATTCCCCACACTCCAGCTCACAGTATGTACAGTGTCACAGAGTACAGTCACTTCTGCTGAATCAACACACATTTCTAGAGCATCATTAGTGAATAGTCTGTATTGCATAGATTTTAGGAGGCTTCAGTCACAGATCAGAGTGGGCCCCATTCCACTGAGGCATAGGATTTTAAAAAGGGACTAATGATTTTGGATGTTGCAGTATTTGGTTGCCCACCTTGAGAGAGCCGAAGAGAGACTGATTATCAGAAAGGTTTGGATAGCACCTCTAAAAATCTGGCTTCTTTTTAATGGTCTTCTGGGCTGGGTGTCACAAAATAGCTCATTAAAACTATTGTCCAATCTCTTTGGACATGTTTACTGGATCTCGTTTTGTGGAGTTAATGTTTCTCAATCTTCCACGTTGTCAACTGACAAGGCTCCCAACCACAAGGTATACCCTGCTACACATGCAAATTAAAGCTGCATAGCAACCAGCTATAAATTTAAGGCACATTTTTGAGGTCTAACTTTATAGTTGGTTGGAGCTTTTTATCATGTCATGAGTACTTGCTTTGAATGTGTAGCTGGTGTTAAGATAATTGTGGAATTAACCAGATAAGTGTACAATAACTGTTATGTGTAGAGGGGGCCTTATACTCATGCCTTATCATAATTATTTATTATTAGGTTTTTTTGTTATGTGGCTGCACCTAAGAGCCCCTGTCATGGACCCTTGGCTCCATTATGTCAGACACTGAACAGAGAACAAGATGGTAGTCTGTGTCCCGAAGTGCTGACAGTGTGCGAGACCTCAGAGATATATGGAATGTAATTGCTCCATTTCCAGTCCTTTGCAACTGAGTAAAAACCCGTGGTTCACAGATATTTTTGAAGGCAAAATGAAGCATCTTTTAAGATTATTAGAGCTGTGTGAAGCTTTGGGTGCTGATGCCGATTTGGAGGAGATTCGGCCTGATTCAGTGGCTGAATCTCCAAATCCGAATCGAATTGGGACCAATAAAAAGGTCCAAATTGATTCAAAGCTCTCCAAGTCTTCCAAAAAGATTCAGAGAGCTTTGATGATTCAAGCAGTGGGGGGCATGGGGGGCAGTGGTGATCCCCCTTCCTGGCAGCACCTGGTGAGTGAGGCCTTTTTTTTCAAAGAGCCAGGAGCTGGAATGGGTGGGGCAGCCATTGCTGGGGCTGGGAGAGCGGGTGGGGGATGGGCCTGGGTGATTCAGAGATTCATCAGGAGCCGAATCTCCAAATCAGATTTTGCCGAATTGATTCGGGACAGTGATTCATGTCACTGTCCCCTGAATCAGCAGAATCTGAATCCGAAGCAAATACTAGCCTAAACATTATGGCTGAGAATCTCTTTTTCAAGGGTCAGTACCATGGGCCTTCTTCCATACTGTCCTGTCCCTTGTGCAGTTATTCACATCTGTGAAAGCTGAATACAGACACAACCCTCAACACCTCATCCTGCTTCCCAGTAGGAGGAATAACTGCCCAAGGACCAGAGACTACGCGGGAGTGTGGCACTTATTGCGTCCTAGGTACATTTTGTATTTTATAAGACAGGGAGCTTTGAAATAACAATCAGAATGTTCTATCTGCAGAGAAAAGTGTCCTGACTGATAGCGATGAACCTTCCAGAGCTTAGGTAGCGCATTAACATCCTTTTTTAGGGTCTCAGCCCTACTGTCTGCCTGCTGCTGCTTGTGCTTGCACAAATGTAAACCAGCAGTAATTCCTATGAAGTTACTGGAGAGGTCCCTTGCTGGAGAGGTCCATAGTTCAGACACAATAAATTCTCTTGGCAGGTGAACTCCACAATGCGCTAAGTATCACCTCTTTATTAGGGATTTGCAGAGGAGAAATATTTGGCACCAAAGCTTTTAAGCTGCTTGCTTGGAGACACTCTTTGAGAGGAGAGAACAGCTCATGTACTTGACAGCCTTTCTGGATAAACTGGACACCCTCCACAATTAACACTATTCACTCCACAGCAAAGACAGCGGCCTGGATTTATACCCGTGTTCATGGATGATGGATGTTGGGTGCTACAGCGTTCAGCTGTGGTTGCAGCTAAAGTTTGGCTAGTCCACATCTTAGAAGTATAGCAAAGGGTCACCTGGCATTAAACACTACCTCCTGGAAGAAGGGACAGTAGGACTTGGACCACGTGAGAACTCAGATCATTAAAATGATGAATGTGTGTACTAATGTACTGTAACCCAGTGTAACAGGGTCCTGCCCCCAGGAGTGGCTCTGTGATGCCCCTGGAGCCCCCTCATCCCTTGTTGCTTTTCCTTTCTTTGGGCAATCTCCCCTTCCACTTTCCTGCCACACCTTGATGTAGTTGTGCCTTTAGAAAAAGGGAGGCTGCCCCAGGGTGCCACAAGTAAGAGTATACTTGTGAACAGAGGTGTCATTGCTCATCGCCTTAAGGGCTAATTACGTGGCTTCCTCAGGTGCACACAGAAGTGACCATAGAAAGTAGTCTATAGCCATGACCAAATACAAATGCATGGCTGCAGATATCTTAAAAAATGGCCACTTGGCTAAAAATCTGACCCCTCATTGCATGAGGTATCCAGATAAAGAGGTGCAGACAGAAGTGTCAATTTTTGCCTGATCTGGCTGCAGAAAGCAGTTTATAACTGTGACCAAACGTAAGTGCATGGATATAAATAGCTTCAAAAATGGCCGCTTGGTGAAAATCTGACCCTTCATTAGGTAGGTATCACATAAAGATGTTACAAAATGTAGCCTCTTTGGTAACTTGTGTCTGCAGAGCTCCCAGGCTGTTGCTGTTTTCAGAATGGGAGGGGAAAAGGGAGCAGAGGGAGTTCAGTCTGGATGTTTTTTATTCCCCCCTGGAGGGTGAGGCAGGTGTATTGCAGCCCCCCTTAGGTCGGGGTGGGGGTGGGGGAGACTACAATTCACCCACCTCACCCTTCAGAATCAGCTGGGGAGCCCCAAGAACGAGCTCCCTCCACTGCCTTTCCCCTTTCCCATTTTGAAAACAGCAGCACTGGCAGAAAGCCTGGCCATTGGTATGCAGGTTTCCAGCTGGCAGCCAGATTCCCCTCACCCCTAGAACCAACAGGAAACTTCTGTTTGGTCTGGGGTAACGCTGTAACTCAGAACACTTTACAGAATTACAGCTGGAAGTTGCACTTCTGTTTGTACTCACTCTCATCTCCTCTTTTAGCCATGCCCAAGGCTGGCACGTTACTAATCATTGGGTATTAAACTCCATCATCCAATCCAGTCAGTCCCTTATCCATGGGTCTTCAGCCCCAGTGTCAACTCCAATCAGTGCAGGCCCCTGAACATAGAATGGTTTCTACTATTGCTGGGGCCTCCAGCCCTGGTTCCTTTAACCATGCCAGCCCCTTCTGGGCCCAGGCCTCTGTACCTCAAACAATTTCACTCCTCTTGGGCTTAGGCCTGCATCCTCTGCCCGTCCTGGGCTCAGGCCTCATTATCTCCAGCTGACTCCACCCTTCCCAGGGTGCAGGACTCTGGGCCTGTTTGTTCTCACCCTGCACAGGCTACAGGCCCCCGACCCTGCCTGCTCTCATCTCTGCAGCTGTGGCTCTGCTCCTCAGCCTTGGCCCCTATCCCACAGGACCTGACTCTGCTCCCAGGCCAGTTAAGACTTCCACCACTCCTGCAATCTCAATTCCTAAACCAGCAGTGTTTCCCCAGCCCTAAGATTATCTTACCCCCACACAGTTGGAGTGCTTTATCAGAGGATCCCCTTCTCAGCTCAGGAATTCTTTTTCCCAGGGCTACCTGCCCAGCTTAAGTCCTGGGCTTATATCTTGCAAGCCCAGCCCCTTCTGGGTCATGTGGCTTGCTTGATTGCCCTCTGCCTCACCTGCAGCCTGCTTCTCCTGCAGCCTGCCTTCCCTTAAAGTAGCAGGAGCACCAAGCTCCTTACTACACGAGGACAGTGTAACTTGTTCTGTTTTGTTGGAGTCTATACAGATTCCTATACTGCCCACATCATTATACTGTCTGAGCTCCTTCCAATAGCGCATTGAGTAACGTGGTTAACATCCATCTTGTGTGATTTGTTTTTGTCCCAGTTATAGCATCCAATGGGCTTTTTTGATTACAGTATTCCATGGTACCTCATTTCCTGAAAAGATATTTTCTAATACCCCCAGGCTTGTAGAATAATGTAGAACTACATTCTCTTAGAGTATGCTTTCCTAAATTTACCTTCTGACCAGTATAAGTGAAGAGGCTATTTGAGCATGCAGCTGCCTTTTAGATCTTCTTAGTAGTGCTCTGCAGACATTGTATGCCCATGTAATTTAAAAACTATGGAACTGTTCAGGAGAAGGTGCTGTGTCTTGTAGTAATTACGTAGGTCTGCAGACTGCCTGGTTATCATGTTGTATTTCAAGATGTCAGGGAATTAAAAGATTATTTAAAGCATCAGATTGCTTAGAATGATGATTCAAGAGATGGATGTTGTTAGAAGGTTTGTCTTAGAGTGAGGGGAATGTGTTGCTAAGTTGGGGGGTTTACTCATTTTCTGGGAGAAGGCCAAAGGAATTGCACTCAGGAGTCCAAACCAAACAGAACTTTTAGTTCAGCCCTGGTGCTGAGTTGCTAAATGATATACAGTGTCAGAGATAGTCAAAAGTTGCGCGCAATAAAGTAAAATTGACCAGTCTTAAGTTATCTGCCAACATTTTTGTTTCTTGTAGCGTCTCCACTGAATCAGCAATTCAGAACATTTCCATAGCAAAATCCTCTGGCTTGGGGTTGACAATCAGTGGTGGATCTAATAAGCCAGATGGTCCCATGGTGTATGTTCAAGAGCTTATGCCGGAGGGTGACTGTTACAGGGTAAGTTAGCAATGCAGAGTTTCATTGATTTGTAAAATACGAATCTCTCCTGAACACACCAACTGTTGTGAAGAAGCCTGCTTTGGGGATGAGGTAATAAGCTTTTGAAGTGCATCTTTTTTGATATATTAATCTTTATGGATAAAGCTTGATACTATGTCGCTGTTTTCCCTCCTTGTTTAGGATGGGCGGCTCCGTCCAGGTGATCAGCTAGTGGCTATCAATAAAGACTCTTTGGTGGGCAGCACATATGAGGAGGCCAGAAAAATAATTGCAAAAGCCAAATTCAGGTAGGCAAGTGCCAACAGGCCCAAGTGAATAAATCTCTTGTGTCCAAAAAGCATGTCCTATTACAGTCAATAAGGATTATGCCCTGTGATGCTTCTGAGGGTGAGGGCGGAGATGTGCCCATCATTCTACTCTTTTTTGCAAGGAACATCTTGTTAGTTCTCAACGTCTTCTAACCCCACATCAGGAGGTCTTGAGTGCATGGGACTGTGACAAAACCTTGGGATGTAGGGTACTCCCAGAAATATACACTGGGTTTGTGTACGCTTATTGTTCCCCCACTCTGCTGAACAGATATGACCAGGTTATTAATTTGCTCAGAAATCCTGATTTTACCACAGACACTTTGGCAAAGCAACAGAAAAACAAAAGAGTTTATTACAAGGAGGAACAAATTATATAAAAAAGAAAAAATGTTCAAATGCTTTGACTGCAAAGTATGGTAAAACAAAACTGACAGAGCCATTGCCCTGTATTCACACTACCACCTAGCCCTCAAAATTCCTCTGAAAATCTCTTGGGGTCCTCCTCCCCTCAGTCACAACTACCTGTCTCAGCCAGAGACCTCCATGTCCTCTCTCTTCACAGGCAGCCATTTCTCTTGCCCATGTGGTGGGCCAGTAGGGGGTGCTGCTGCACTGAGCCATCTGCTTCACTGCGTGCGACCAGCTCCTAGGCTCCGAGTGCCTCCCTGGGGGTGCCTCACGTCTGGCTGCCCCCCTTACTGAAGCACACCCACAAGCCTGGGTGTAATGCCGCCACCACTCAGGGTCTGAACTGATCTTGGTCCTGTGCCCCCTGGGAAACACAGGGCTAGTAGTCCTTGGGGGTACTTGACCTACTGCAAGAACTTGGGGTGCTTCCCTCAGTCTGAAGCACAAATAGTGGTCTTCCTTAGTCAGCCAAACCAAGGGAACCCCAAGGCCTAAGTTAGACCCTCTCCCAATAAATCTCCCAAGCAAGACATGTAGGAGAACTTTACTGGTTGCAAGGAGTAGGTTTGGAATAGGGTACAAGGTAGAGCAATATCAGATAAATCCCTTAGAGCAAACAGTGTCATGGCAGGCTTTGATTATGCATCTGTGTTACTGCAAGCTATATATCTTGTTAGAGCTCAGGTAGCTCATTCACAAGTATCATCCAGAGGCAGGTGGAGATTCACTCTGGAGGCAAGCAGCTCATTAAACATGAGTTTCAAGAAAGAGAGCAAGTTTCAGATGGGTCTAGCTTCTCTGAGAGTCCTCATTATGGCTGCTGCTCCTCCTTCTGGGGAGCAAACTTAGCACGGAGTTATAGCCATTAGGAACTTTCTGAAAACTTAAGTATGTATATTTTTAAGCACTAACAAAATGTTTTATTTTTAAGACATGAGGGAAACACAGAAGTGGCCTTTATTCCTGGAAGGGGATGGTTACATCCTGGACTCTCGACTCCCAACAGCATCCACTCATCACCTCCAAAAGCAATGGGGAATGGTCTGGGCTCTTGCAGATTGAAGGTCCATGTGAGGTCCCCTGAGGTAGGCCATAGTACAGTGAGACAACAGATGCCAAACCCATGATCTCTGTCTCCAGTAAGATTACTTCTATAGATTTTGTGGTAATCTTTCTGGATTAGCTGTTTATAAGGTCTGCAATATGGACTTGTTTGCTCGTTTGGACTCTGGTACTTTATATCTAGAATGTTGTTTCTTTTGGCTCTGGTTCAGGATGCCAACAGATTTATCCCTGACTATCTAAGTCTGTGCTGAAGACAATTGAGATGGGCTTTCAGCCCTGGAGTCCAGAGTTCAGATTTGTTTTCAGAAGTCAAAAGTGAAAAACAAATTTACTCTTGACTAGGGTAATTCTAGGGACACCCTCAAATTCAGTACCAGACCTAGTCCCCAGAAATGAGAGAGAGAGATTTTAAAGGTGACTAGGGGATTTAGCTGCACAATCATTGGGAATCATGTGGCTCAGTCCCTTAGACAGATTTGCAAATATGTTAAAGCCATACATTTCCCTTCCTTTCCTGGATTAATGCAGTGCTCCGTATGACCCATTTGCAAATGACACAAGGCTTCTTATTATTGAAGTGATATTCTAGCTGTGATGGACCAGGGAATAAACAATAATTTCCTAAACCATGCATTTGATCCATTAAAACATATCACCCACAAAAATTCTTGCCTCTTGTACAAGACTTCTTGGAGGTCCTTCCATAACAAAGAAGCCTTGGGCCTTCTATGCAGCCTCCTGATGAGTCTGAGTTTTGCGTGTGAAAATTTGAGTCATCTGTGTGTATGTTGTCTGCTGGTAGATGCGAAAGGTATGGCTGGACATGGCTAGATATTCTGTCATCCAATACGTGCATGCCTGTATAGCCTCATAATCTGGGGTGGGTTGCCAGTGAGGACTGGTCTCCAGGACATCATCCAATTGCAATGCAAAATACCTACTGCTATTCACACGTTTCTCAAGAATGTCTTTAACATTAGCTGCCATATCTGCGTGGCACAGTGTCATTTGAAAGAGGCACGCAATTTAACTGCTTTGCCATCTTCATTCCACACAATATAAACACAAGTTCTTTAGCTGCAGGAAGAATGAGTTCTTCCCCAGTAGTGTGAGGCTTCCCCGCTTTGGCAATTTGAAGGCTTGCACGATACGAAGCTTCCAGGGCCTTTACATTTACTGTTGCATGACCAAACATTGTTACTTTCACTTGTTTCAACTCATTAAGTTTGTGCTGAAAAAATTCAGGAGGTTTATCTTTGAAAGCAGCATGTATTGTCTCCAAATGATGCCAGAAATTTACAGGCTTCAAGCTTTCATTAGCCAGCACTGTGTAGCATAACACACGTTGTGGCCTTGGTTCATCTTGTTCACCAGTCCATGTGAAGCTTACATTAGTATAGCTTGATTTGGATTGTCTTACCATTTTTTGGTGTTTCAGTGTGTTTTCATTACTGGTGCTTCTACTCATACTGGTTCCTGGTAAGCACGGGTCTGCACTCAAAATTTTCTTTGCAGATATATGTTTTTATGTTTGACTTTGAACTTTTTGCTGATCTCACTGTCACTGGTTTGATTATTTGTTGTTTATTTTTTCAAATATCCTGTTTTCAACCACAAATCCATTTCTGGGGGTTGACTACTATCCTACTTACTGGACTGACAATTGTTACATTTTTTGAAAAAGCACTGGATTCTGGTACAGTCAGTACTTTCCACATGACAATAATGACCAATAAATACAATACAGGTAGGCTAGCTGAATTGCGTTCAATGAAAACCACGTATACACAGCTGAAAAATGTGACCAATTAAAGCTATATATGTAGTGTAGTAGGGTGATACCAACTTAAAAACCCCCCACGCGTTTCACTTCTGGATTAAATATGAATAAAAATAAAATATCATTATTTTCTTTAGCACTGGCATCATCATCAAAATGGCTTTGATCTCCGTCATCAGCAAAAATGAATCAAGCGCAGGGCCAAGTACAGATATTCTTGATTGTTCCACAACATTTCTGCGGACCACCTGAATGGAGCTCATGGACCAGTGGTGGTCTGCGGGCCACAGTTTGAGACCTCTGCACTAATAGACATGGGTTCAATGCCCTGACAGAGACCCAAGATGAGGCCTTATCCTCCTGAGCCAGAACTCCTTTTTGGTCCACCTTTATGTTAGCTCATGCTCTCTCCATAGCCCAAGAGGTTTACCTGGTGCTTTTGTTTTTCATGCATGGGATGGTTTAACTTGGTTCCATAGTGGGGGGGCTTTGATGGTCCCTACTGAGCTCCAGTTCCTCCTTTTGCTCATTATTTGCTGTGCTCAGCATTGTCTCCTTTTTTTGTCTTCCTTATTTAGAACAGACATGAAACCTCCTTTCCTGTGCCTTCTCCATCACCAGATATCTGCCCACCAGAACTCACTGTATCTGGTAAGACCCTTGCTTAGTTGCTCTCTGCTCTGTTTGTACAGGTGGCAGAGTGTGTTCAGCTCAGTCTGCCAGTCTGAGAGAACAGAATTAAAATTTGAAATATATGTACAACAGTGTTAGAGTTTAACACTGTGGTCATAGAGCCTGGTCCATTAGGGTAATTTATTCAGTAAGCATTATATAAGCCCAGGGCTGCTGGAGTGGTTCAGGGATGTTTTGCCTTTCAACTTTAGGCTATTGGTTCCATTCTGTGATCCAAAGACTATGACACAGGGTCTTGCTATCATTCCAGTGGCCAGGTGGCCCCATCATACTTAACAGATGGCAGCCTTGCTGATGGAGTGAATAACACCTAGAAACTAAAACAGTACTTCAAAAAACTCCCCATTCCTGACAAAGCACTAGGTAGCCCCGAACAGGAACACAGTTCTATTGTCATTGAACTAAATTAGCTGCCACCAGTTGTCCATGAAGAGGCAGTTAATGTGTGATTGAATAACCGCTACGTCTGTCACACTTGTCTAAGGCATCCATGGTTCACATGTAGGTTAATGTTGTTCTTTTAAGCTGTATTTTCCCCTGTGCTGATGGCCCACAAAAACCTGCTTGTTTCCACATGAATATTTTGCATTAGTCTGAAATGTGAATGCAATCCTTACGCTTCTGGTTGATGTACCTGAGCTTGAGCCTGATCACACCAAAACAGAACTGGTAAAATATTCCATAGCTTTACTTGCAAGTCCACCTTGTTTAGCTCTAAAGGGGCTTTATTATTACTTGCATAATGAACATTTGAAGGGCAATATTCAGTCACATGATAAAATGTACCTGCTCCTTTGTGTGTGACCATTTGAAAATGTGGACCTGAAGGTCTAGGTTTTCAGCAGATATTGTGCATGAGTGGAAGATGCAGATGATTCTGAGAAAGATGTAAGGCAGGTTCTCTGGCTTATCTTTAGGCAGTTGTGGCTTAAATAAATAATTCCCAGCCAAAATTACTCTTCTCCCAAGGGCATTTTGGGCCCCTTGGCTATCTGTATTTGAGTTATAAGAAAAAAGCAGATGAAAATTAATAACATTGACTGGAACACATCTGATCTGCTGGGCTCTTGGTTTTATTTCCCCATGAAATAAATGTTTTATCTGTCACTATGAATGCCCTTGCTCATTTGTGCATTTGAATGATAGAGCTAATGTTGTCAGATTGCTCAGACATTTGGAGACAGACATACATATGGAGTAAGATTCCTTGGGCATAGTTAGCATGATACTGAATTAATGCTAATAAATGTCTCTTTTCCTGACATATAAACCATTCTTCAGAAAGATTTACTGCCCTCACTTGATGTGATGACAGGTAAAGTCGCACTGGGATTAGTTCACACAAGTTTTCACAATGCCTAGTGAAGTCAATGGAAATTGCAGAGGTGTATACTGTCAGTGACCCACTGGGAAACCTTCAGAATGGCACTACATGCCTTGCCTAGATGAGAGGGGTATGTCCACTCTAGGAACACTGCTGGGCTTTTCTTACTAAAAGGTAGTCAGGATGCAGCAAATCCCTAGTGTGGGCAGACTGATGGTTTCCAAACATGTGAGCATGTCCATGTAGAGTTTCAACACATATTTTACCTGGCACCTGGCAAAAAATGCACCTTTACCCAAGTGAAGGAAAGGTTTCTGGCAGAGCCTTGCCTACTGTGCACATAGTATTGTACAGAGGTGTGTGCAAAGAGATCCTTTGGCTTAAATAAGAGACAGCTGGAGGGAGGATTTTCTCTCTGAAGGGCCTTTCACTCTGGACTCTGCCTGCTTTCACTGGTAATGCTGTGGATCTGTTTTTATGACCCTCAGGACAAGCTGTGGATTATATCTCAGGGAGGTGATTGGACTGGCAAGGGGGGTGTGAGGGGATGAGGGCCAATGCTGACTGATGTGGGATAATTATTACTTGGAGTGTCTCCAAATAAAATTATTATGATGCAGTGGAACCTAGTGGAAAGGACCTGGGGCTGTGTGTCAGTCACCCTGCATCCCATTCCCAGATCTGCCATTCATCTGCTGTATCACCTCAGACAACTCTATTTCTAGGTGTTTTTTCTGACTCTGCCCCTTTGTCTGTATTGTGTACTTAGGCTGTGATCTGTTTGGGACTGGCTGTCTCTCTTACTTTTTATCTATACAGCACCTAGTACAGCAGGACCATGACTCCATTTGGGCTGCCAGGCAGTGCCCTAATACTAGGAAAATTCAGTTTGTGAATCAACTAAGGCAGCTCACTATGCATATTGTTTCTATACCGAATATTACAAATGCTGCCAAGGCCCAGAGTTTTAAATAGGCATCACTGTAAGAGGAAATAAATGACTAGTTTTGGAGGAACAAGAGCTTAGTTTGAAATCTGAATGAGTCGTCAGGGCCTGCTGGCTGTTCCTTGGTGCCTGATCGCCTGTATTGCTGCCTAGGATATCTGTGTTTAGAGTTTCTGAGCAAAGCCACAGAACAAAGCCTTGCTAATCCTGCTTAACAAGGAGTTGAAGGGGATCTGATCTGCCCTTGAACCTGAAGAGCAGAGTGTTGGGTGACCAATCTGGTGAACGTGTTTATTACCTCAGGCCCTGCTGGCATTAGCAGAACAGATGAATATTAGGATTATGATTATACTTGTGACTGCACCACTGCAGCTTCTGTTTGTGTTTCCTTAAAATCCTACTCTTCTTACATGCAAGTCATTTTAGAACAACTCATTCATTTATTTTTCTAAAGTGCCCAAGTGATTGTGGAGCATGGTCCCACAGCCTTGTTCTCCTAAAGCATACTTTTGAACATCCCACGTGTTGATTCCAAATGGCAAGAGTTTTCTTTAAGTAATTATATCAATAGCTTTGACCCAGGCTTCAGACATTGCAGAGATGAAAGAAATGGGACTCTGGATCCTCCACAAGGCACCATTCCATACCATTGAAGTCCAAAAGAACTTTATCATTGACTTGCATGTGAACAGGATTGGACCTTAGCAGCTTCTGCTCTCACTGGATTCAGAGAGCATCCTTAGCAGTGTCTCAGAAGCAGTGGTGGTTTTACCTATACAAGTAATCTAAAGAGCAAGTTTCCTCAGTCCTCTCCTTCCAGAGATAACTGGCAAGGACACAAAAATTCATAGTAATATACAGTGGGTGCATCTACACATTCATTAATGCACTGTAGTTACTGTGCATTTACTTTAGCACTTCCTTAATTAAGTGCTAACTAAATGAACAGTAACTACATTTGCTGTCCAGTAGCACCATTGCAAAGTGTTTTTGTGATGGGTATTGCACAGTAGCCTAATAGTACTGTGCAGTAGCTTATTAGCACATTTTTTGACCGGCATGCTACTGCACATTGTTACTAGACTACCGCACAGTAAGCGTTTTGTGTAGACACGCCCAATGGGAACTTCCTACGTGACTTATATGCAATAGTGCAACAAAGAGTGTGTGAACAGGGTGGTAGCCCCAGGTGCTGACTTTAAGCAGCTGCAAGAATGGGATGGCAGCCACTAGCTCAGATACTGTCATTGCCATGCAAGGTGCAGAAACTGCTTGTTATACCTCTGCTTATGTGCATAGGTCCCACTAAAATTCAGCGGCATTTCTGCTCCTGATTCATGTGGGCATTTTTGAAAATCCCTCCTGTAATGAAAAGTAGATCACAGCTGTTGGACCTTTCTCCTGATCCCTTATTCTCTTTGACAAAGGTGCCCTCCCTCTTGTTTCTCTCCTGCCCCCTCCCCCCTGCATTTTAATGCCTGTGCTCTTTTTGCAGTGGACTCCTTGGAGGTATAATGCAGCCTGCCCAGCCTTACACAAAGGGAGCCAATCCTGTGCACAGCATCCAAACAGAAACCTTGCAACTTTGAGCATTAAATTTTGTCTTTAAGGGGAATTGTGAACACATAAGTAAGATCAGACAAAAAACATAAACAGGCACTACATTGAGTCTGTGTCAAAACTCCCAGGCTGGAAGGCCAGTAATGGCCTTTATGAAGTCTTCCTTGTTGGGCCTCATTCTATAAAACAAAAACATGAGCCGACATAGTTGGGATCCAGGCTGAATTTCATCCAAATCAGTCAGATCCCAGGACCCCTAAAATTTCTTCCCCCAAATTTCTAAGAATCACCTTGCAAGCCCACATCCAGGTGCCCTTTACGGAGCCTAACTACTGACTGCATGCCCACCTTCTGAAAATCTGGTTTCTTATATAGTGCCTTAAGTTGGTCTCTTAGGAGCATGAATTTCCTTTCAAAATCTTGGCCTCCACTGTTGGTCCATCTGTAATTGCAGTGTACTTGGTGCAGTGAAAATGTCCCGACTCCTAGCTTTGCTCTGAGGTTCCTTGCAGATGTATAATTTTCCCCTCAATGCTCATTCATTAATGATTGCTTTACTGTCTTTTAGCACCTACTTCATCTTCTAGTCAGAGGGCAGCTCCAGGGAACAAACCAAAAGTAGCGCTGGATCCCCATATTCGTCTCAAAGATGGAAAACTTGAACTAGTAAGTGGAACACTTTTCTGTCTAGGTGTTGAGATTTTGTCATCAATAAAATGTTAAGGAAGTGAACAGATGGAACATACGCTGCAGGGTGGAGAATTTACAATAAGTATTTTGTCTGTCTTCTCCTAACCAATGGTTTCATTCAGGGGCAAATGAATGCAGTTTAGCTCTATTTAATATGGTACAGGAGCAAACAAAGCTACCAACAGGGATCAAGTGGTTGATGGATCAGTCTTTTTCTACGCAATGGAATAATTGGAGGACAATTATAATATGGCTTAATTCAAAACTAGAACATTGCAACAGTTACTGATTTATCTAGTTTGGTAATTTTCTTTTTTGTCTTAAAGCCACCTTGAGTTATTCAGTGGAAAAATACCCTTCTTGTTCATTTTCATTCAATACAGCATATATTCTAGAGCAGTGATTTCCATGCTGTGGTCCCTGGGAGACCCCTGGGAGTCTACAGACTATATCTAAGGGATTGGTGAAAGATGACTATGATCAATCAAAAATATATGAATACCCACACTTACAGTTCAAAGGGGTTTGCACCTCCATTCAATTTTTTTTAAAGGTCCACAAATGAGAAAAGGTTAAAAACCAACTATTCTAGAGTCTTAAATCAGTGCATTAGAATTTCCCTATGTGACCACTTCTTAAGATTAGAAAGAAGCATAGACTGAGCTGAAAATATATTTTGGCCTTTTTTCCCACTTCTGTTTTAAAAACATTATGTTGAGGCACATGATGACTATGTCTGTTAATGGCATCGGGGTCAGTGTGTCACTTGCTTTTAGGAGGGATTAAAAAGCAAAATCCTGAATACAAATAGTCTGAGAGAATCTGGTGCCTACTTGTTTGTATAGAATAAGTCTATAGCACTTGTTCTTAGTGTGGCCTAATCTGCACATACGTCACTAACACTGGATACCGTCTGCTCCAATCTGATTCCCCTTTAGTCTAATCCAGAGCTGAACGAGGATGTAGAGGGCTATTAATAGACGTGGGAGTCAGAGTTCAAGTAGCGTGAGATGCGGACACAAGGCTTCAAACATTGATTACACTGTTAGGATCACAGAGTTCATTCAGCACAGTTAGGTCCAAGTCCCAATTTGATTAATGAGATGGAGGCATAATGGATTTATACCAATCTATATTACTGGCAGTCCTGTAAACATGGCAGCTTTACACCACAGCTGTCTTAAGTTCACCCATGGTGTGAAGTGTGTTTGTGAGCCCTTCAAAATTCTAGATGAGCTAAATGAGGAGACACAGCACAGCTTCATCCCCACGAATGCCATTTACCAGACAACTGAATTCTCCTGGTTTATTTTAGTTCCTTTTAACTTGCACAGCAAGCTCCAAAGAGCTCCTGTATTCATAGTGAAGTTACTGTTGGTACTAGTATTGAACATCTATACAGAGCTTTGCATTAGAAGAACCCCCAGCTGCTTTCCTATCTCTGAGGCCAATCTGGCAGTGGTGGCCATGATGGCCTAAATGCCAATCTTTAGTGGCAGAATTATAGAAATACGCCTCAGTGTGAGTGAGACTCAGCCCCAATGCCAGTAATGTGTTGAAAGTGCATGAAGATCTGAGGGTCCCAACCATACTGTTTTTTGTTAAAACTTCCTTACTCAAATTGCACACACAACCTCTGCAAAGGATGGGGAATAGAACTCGCTAGCTGCTATGTGGTGAAATCTGATTAACTCAAGAGAACTGGTACTTCCTTTTTTCAACTGTTCCATCTGAAACATGCACCCCGTTGTATTTTAGCGCATCGTGATGGAGAATGCATGAATACAGAACCCCCAGTAAGGTTATCTCCCAACTCAAGCTGGTGGATGGATACAGCTGAAGTCACTGAAGTATTGTTTTGTTTCTGCAGCAGGTGATATATTTTCCTGTGCAAGAAGAGCCTTTTCTAGGTGTTGAGGCAGAGTTTGCTGTCACCTTGTGGTGGATGAAGCAGTTGTTTTTTCAGTTTGTGTAATCCTATGAAAATGTGGAAAGCAGCATATGGACAGAAAGTTTTGTGCTAAACCTCCATTATTCTTCTTAATCAGAAATCAGGATTAAATTTTCTCATTGATCTTTGCCTGCTCTGGGTCTGAACAAATTTGTTCTCTGTATTAAGAGTTTTAGCACACTTTGCCTTCACTTTTTAAAATCGGGGGTTTTGAATGATACAATTTTATTCTTCCCCATCTAAGATTGTTCCCCCAACCTCCACTCTCCCAGAAAGCTTGTTTTCCCACTCAGGTTATTTTACAGACTTACTACTTTATTTCCTTGTTAAAGGTTTTGCAGTATCTGGGTCTGAATGTGACTGAGGAGAAGAAGAGGCAATTACGGCAGAGTCTGACCACAGATTCTCAAGGAACGCTGGCCTATGGAGGTGAGCAGAGTGCTTCTCTTCATTCTGCAGAACTCATTACCACCCAGGGGCAGACCAGCTAAGAGATGATGGCAAGAATAAAGGGCTGTGCCTGGCCAGGCTTTCATTCAGACTCAGTGAATTCAATAAATGGTCACAGAAGGAAAAAGACTTTAAATCAGTACACATGCCTGGGGCCAAGAGAGAGAGCATACAAGCCCATTCTCCTGAACCCTTCAGCCTGCTGGTCTAGCAGTACCCAAAAGAAAAATTGCTGTCTGTGGGCTGATGGCAAATAGCTGTCCCTTAGGTGTTGCTTGTATTATTACTCTGTCTCTGCTCTGAAAGTCAACATAGTTCCAAGGCTTTCTGTGATGACAATGCTAGTCTTTTAGAAACCTTGACCAATGCTTTCTATCAAATGAGAGTAGAGAGCTCTGAACCATGGCTAGCAAAATGATCCTGTGTTTAACATACTCTTGCTACAGGATGAGCTGAGTGCTTTACCTGTGCTGGAAGTGGCTGCATTCAAAGCAAAGTTACTGGGTGGTGAAGGGACAAAATTTGTTTGCATTTCAGCACAGGGGTTTTAAGTGGTCTCTAAGAAAGGACTGTGGTGGAAGCCCTGTTTCTTCTACTAATACCACAGTTCATACCAACTGGGACTCATATTAGCAATCTGGCAGAGAGGCTAAAGACTGTGAATGGGTTATGGAGAGTGAGAGACTGTCTGCACTATGGTGGCAGAGAACTCAGTCATGTTGCCAATTAAGTACCTACCTACTCCTGCTTCACATGCATCAGCCCCAGATCTGAGGTGGTGCGGCATTTCCCACCACCACCCCGAGCATGTCAGAATGGTCAAAGGGGTCGATTCTGTTTGGGCTTTTGAAAACTGAAAAATCTTAAAAGATAGCTAACAATTTTTATTTCCATTTTTCTTTGTCAAAGAACTAAAAAAATGCAAGGTTTTATTAAAATGAAGTCTTGCCTACATTTTCTATGAAAAATACTTGGCTTGTTTTAACCAGCTGTGCTCAGCAGACAGTGGATTTGCCTGTTTTCTGCAACAATCATTCACTAGTATGTGGCTAGGGCTTTCTCTTTTCATCCTATTGCTGTTGTGGTTTTCTTTCATAGATCTTCTCCAAGCACTCAGGGATCTGCTGCAGGACGAGCTAGAGGAGGCTGGCCTAGATTCCACTTCTGTGCTCTTCACTCAACATGAAGTGGCCAATTTACTGGATACATCTGCTTTTCACTCTCTGGTCAGCCTTAGCCAAATACTTCTTCTCAATTGTCTTTTAAGTCTACTGAAGTAGTTTTCAAACTTTCTAAAGTCATGGAACCCTTTCATTTTACTTCTTCTACTACAGAATCCATACCCTGATCTTAAGGACTGACATGGCATTAGGCAACCTGAGCCAGCCCAGCAATGGAGGCACACGACCTCCCAGCCCACTCCACCATTACTCCCAGTCTCTTGCAGAACCCTTGATGACTAGGGTTCCATGTAATACAGTTTGAAAACCAGTGGTCTGCTGCATATTGTCTTGGTTCCAAAGCTCACCTCAGGTCAAAAACTTCACGGGTCTTTCTGAAAGTTTATGTGTTGGCTAGACCAGCAGTTCCCAAACTATGGGCTCATATGGGGTCAGGGCTCTAACACATAAGATTGCAGCCCCACAGAAATTAATGTATAGCAGTTATCTTTGGACCAGGAGTGGTTTGTAAGCCCAGAAGTGGGGTCACTGCATGAAAGGATTGAGAATTGCTGGACTAGACAGTGTAGAAATAAATAGCACTGGTGAGACCTTTCTGAAAAATCAAAGAGGGCAAAGACAAAAGAGCTATCTTTCACTCATCCTTTAGTTTTTTGAAAGCAGAAGCTAGACTTTCATCCTTTAATCACTAAGATTATAGGAAATTCCATAAAGGACCTCCAACCTCATATGCTTAATAAATAAAAATATGTAATGCCTGGAAGGAAGTGGCTGATGTAATTTGTCTAGTGTGTCAGTAGAAAAATTTATCACAGCAAAACTATTTTATTGATTTCATTGCCTCAGGGGCCAACTTATGTCATTTTGATAATGATAAGGAAGGAAAGTTAGATGTGGTAAATCTCTTCCAACTACTGCCAAGTTTAAAACAATGTGAGAATTCACCATGGTTCAGTTGTTTCACTTATCACATGGCTCGAAGGCTGAATATCTGTGGAATACAAAGCCACAGTTGGATTATAAAATGTGATGTTTGATTTGTTTTCTGACAACACAAACCATCTGTGAAAATTATTTTGAATAACATTATTCCCTGCATGTAAAAAAATAGACATACTTGCATTGTAACCACAGACTCAGGGTAAAGGGTAAGAAATCACTCACCATGTGTGCACCTATGCATTTTAGACTTTTGACTCTGTCAACTCTAATGACAATGAGGAACTGGAACAGTTGCAACCGGAAATGACAGATCTACGGCAAGAAGTGCGAAGGCTGAAGGTGAGGTTTGTTTTTTGAGCAAGTTGTCTTGTCCTGTTCCTTCTGCCAGAATTCATATTAGTAATACAGAAGGGTAGTATAACTGCTAGGAAGGTGCTCTGTGCATATTACATCCTTTCATTCCTAGGCATTTGCTGTAGAAAGTATCCACTTTGGATTCTATTCAATACAAATTGTTACAGAGGAGACACTCACAGTGTGCTCTCTCCTGTAAAAACTTATTTTTTGTCTGTTCTTTGTTGTTGCTGCTTTGTCCTTTCCTTGTTGTTTCTGCTATCGTTAAAACAAAAGTTGTTTGTGTTGAAAGTGTGAGATCACTTTTTTTTCTAAGAAAAACCATGGAGGCAGGTATGCGTGTTAAAAAAATACAAAGCACCAAAAACAAATCATTGAAATCCTGTTCGCAACCTCAGTAAAAATCCCAGAGATCTAACCCATAGGCTAGGTACAAACAGTCAAAAAGTCCAAGCAGCCTTTGCAGGTTACTTTAACCTACACTGATTAAATTGAAACAGAATTGCAGTCACATGTCTGCAGTGGCTCAGGCCAAAATCTGGGACCTGCTAGAACATGGACCTCTGTCTGTGTGTTCACTTCCTCTTCCTGCTGCCCTTGAGGTCTCTGGGATTTGCAGTCCAGTATTACAGCAGAAGGACTCTGCAGGGTTACTCATCACTTCCTCTTCCTGCTGCCCTTGAGGTCTCTGGGATTTGCAGTCCAGTATTACAGCAGAAGGACTCTGCAGGGTTACTCATCACTTCCTCTTCCTGCTTCTGGGTGCTTCTGGGATTTGTAGTCCACAGTTGCAGCCAGCAGTAAGTTTGAATGGGGCAAGGGGTGTTTAACCCCACTCCCTGGCCCCAGACCCTAGCTGGGGTTTGCCTTGGGGGGACAGTCCCCCCCACTGTAGACTGGGCTGCATCCCCAGATGGTCTTGCCTCCTCTCCCCCACCCCTTTGTCAGCCAGCCCTTAGTGCTCTAGCTAGGGAACAGAGGGGTGGGAACAGCCCTGCTGTTTGGAGCAGACAGCCCAGCCCAGGGCTGGAAAGCATACTGGGATGATGGGGGACTGTGATTTTAACTTGAACCAGGAAGGGGCCTAGGACAGAAGTTTTGTAAACTGGTTTGTCCCAAATCAGTTAACTCTGGTACTATTTTCAATAAGGTGTATCTTAAACCAGTTTCAGCCATTTTGAAACTGGTTTATTTGCACTCAACTTCTGTCCTGTTACAGGTTTAAACCAGTTTCTGATCACTTAAACCAGTTTATGTGTAACTTCTGTCCCTAGCCCTGTTGACAACCTCACTGTTACATTCATAATTGTGAAAAGGTAAATTTTTCAAATGCACTGTGGCCAGCAAAAATGCAGCAGCCATCTACACACCTGCCTTCTTAAAATATTGCTTAAAATCTATATATCTATGTATCTATATATTGATATATCTCTATATATATAAGGGCTTAGTCTGTCTGTGTGTCTGTCTGTAACGCTCGTGGGAGGTGTGCCTCCCGGCAGGGCATGGCTCTAGATAGTGTTGCATGCAGGGCAAATTGCCCATCAAGAATGATGGTGGGGACAGAGCGCTGCCAAGGACAGGGGATGGAGTGATGGGGAAGAGAGGGTGGCGCGGGGCTGGATGCAGAGTGTGGGACAGAGAATGATGGCAGGGATCAAGTGCCTCGGTGGCGACAGAGCGGGAGTGGGGGGGTGAAACCAGCACTGCTGCCCTCACCCTTCCTTCCCAGCCCTGCTCCTTGGAGGTGGCAGTGGCTGCAGCGTGGGGTGGTGGCAGCGCAGCGCTGGCCTCACTCCCTCCTCTGTCCCCACCATCACGTGCAATTTGCTAGTTCTTAAAATATTTCTCTTGTGTAGAGGAAATTCAGGTCCATAGTATTCCTTAGTGAATGCGCTGTTAAATGTGACACCTAATCAAATGAAAATCTGCCTTTCAGTCTCTCCTGAAGGAGGTGGAGAACAGCAAGAAGTCAATGGAGGAAGAACTTCAGAGACTGAACCAGGTTAGTGAAAAGATTACTGATGCTTTGTCTTATTGGTTGTGTGTGGTGTTTACCTCAATGCTGCCTCACTTTTGGATAAGATAAGGGAAAGGTTTGGGGCTCTTACCTTGCAGTTTCCACACACCCAAGCCTGCAGCTGAAACTAAGTCACCATCTGTACTTGTTATAAATTATTGGTAGTGCTGCAGTACCAAGATGTTCGAACCAGGAATGAGGACCTGATTGTACTGGCTGTTATGTGCCCACATAATGAAAGGATGAAGTCTACTATAAGCAGCTTAAATTTAAATAAAGGAGCAATAACAGTCTTGTGTCTCATGGAGAAGCATCTCCATTTCCAATGAAAACAGGCCCTCAAGCTGGCAGTGCATCCATTATTTTAGCTACAGTGCAACTCTAGTTCCATACATCTCTAGGTTCTAGCCCTGTGTTGCAATGACATAGTTACAAGGAAAAAGATAGCCAGAATGGGTGAAGGCTTTCCATATAGCACTATTGGAAAAAACAATAGTAGCTTACTCTGAGAGCAGCTGAGGGAAAGCTGGTTGGCTGGCCCTGCACTGATGGCTGACCCTGACGGATGCTGTAATGAATGCTCCTTATTGCTTCTAGAAGGCTCTGGGCTTCCTCTCTGAGAATCGGACCCTGCACAGCAAGCTACAGATGGCTGAGGTGGTGCAGCGACAGGCTCGCAGTGCAGAGCAGGACTACGAGGAAGTGATCCACCTGCTGGAGACAGAAATCACTGAGCTGAAAGCTAAGCTGGCAGGGAAGAAAGCAAAGCATGTCTCTGAAGCAGAGGTGGGGTGTCTCTGTATCTGGGAGGGCTGGCTTGGGGGTCAGGGGGCCAGTGATAAGAGCCATTTCTTTAAAAAAAATGGATTTATTTTATGGTTGGGTTATAATTTGTAACTCTGAAGCTAGCAGAATTGTAGGGCTTGTGTTCATACTTAGTATGGCTTCCAGTAACCAGCTCACAAGAAAAGGCTTCCTTCACAAAGATGTGCACTTATGGCTAGCTCTGACATGGCAGAAACTAGCACATTGTGATACCAGGTGACTCCAGCTCATTTTCTTGCTTTACTTACCCCAGTCTCCCAGTTTGGGCCTTCACCTCATAGCCAGTAATTCTGATGTTGGGCTCACTTTGGAAGCAGGTTCCACTTTGACAGTTTCCTAGTGGGGAAGTCATTCCTGGGCCTGCCATCTCAAGCATGCCTCATGGGGCAGAACTGCATCAGCAGGAGAGAAGCACATGGAAGACAGGTCTCAGACCCAGGCCAGCTGAAGGCAAATTATGGTGGTGGCTAATGGCCATGGGATGTGCACTCGCCAGCAGACTTGTTCTTCTAGCACATTAGCATAACTAGCCCTGGGCCCCAATTATAAGGGGATGTGAGACTCTCCCCCCGAGAGTCTTTACTGTGGCAGGGGCAGCCCTGTGTTGCTTGGCTATAAGAGCTGGGCAGCACAGCCATGTACCCAGTAGTGCATCTGGAGAATAGCGTGCAGGGGGCGAGCAGCAGTAGCAGGTGCCCTCCCTGTGCAGGCAGCCTGGGCAGGTAAAACTTCCTCTTCCCCCCTACCTACATTAGTTGGTGCATCCCTTGCTGTGAGCGCTGAATGAGATCACTATACCTTTGCTGTAACATAATTTAATATTTTTCTTTTCTTCTTCTCTGCCCCTTAAAAATTCTCGCTTAATCCTGCGCACTTTATTGGAGGTAAAAAAATGAAGCTCTTTTTGTTTCCTTAGTGGGATATTTTTAGATTTCCAAGTGTAGGTGCTGTGGGAGAAGATAGTTTGTTTGTGCCCTTAGCAGCCTTCTCATGTAGCCCTGAAAAGTGCTGGTAGGATGGTAGTCTCACAGCAGCTTTCTAATCCTGGCTGAGGGAAGCTAATTACTCTGGTCCTGACATTTGCTTCTATTCCCAAGACACTCTGACATTGTGCTGGTGCTTTCAAGGGCCTCAGCTCTGCTTTCACAATCACCCTTCTCTTCCTTCTGTTTGCAAATTCCTGCCTCATTATTTTTATCCCAGGGAGACATTCTGGAGCTGAAAAAAAGATTATCCCTGGCTGATGGTCAGTTACGGAAATCTGAAGTCACACGGAAGCGCCTGGAAATCTGCAACAGAAAGTTGTTCTTGTTTGTGCAGGTGAAGTATTGAAATGTGGCAATTATCTATGAAACCCTTAGCATGAAATGCATGTTACACTTAGAACATACTAAGCACACTCAAAATGCAAACATCCATATGTTAAAACTCATTAACTCATGCTAAGTCCCCTCTGAGCATCTCAAAGTTGCATCACTTCAGAAGTGGGTTAACTCTGGGCTTTGCTACATGGCTTATGTTAGGGCAACTTCAGTCTGCTCCACAAAGATAAAATGAGCTATTTGCAGTCTTCAAGGATCCCAGGATGCACCTCTCTCAGCTGTCCCAGCCTCCCCACATCTACTGCTGTAGACCAAAACAATCCTTCCTCTATGTGGAAGTGTACGCTGACCTAATAAAATCAATGTGATTCTGCTCTGGAAAGTGGCCATGACCCCAGGAACTCACTTACTAGGTTCATTAACTCTGAGTATCATGAAGCTTTACTCTTAGTGAGTCCATTGCATCCACACCACAAGGAGTGCTGGAGTGTCATGTCATGGAGGAGCTGGGTTATTGGATCTATTTGCCATTCTTCCCCATGGAGGTGAACAGAATTGGCTGTAAATATGACTGCAATTGCATCAGTCTACTGTGCCATAGAAACTCCAGCTCCATTGGTGATTATCAATATGCAGTTCATCTGTTTGGACTGGTGCAGGAAGTTTGCTTATTTGGTGTTAGGTATTCCTTTTGAACTTACTTGCTATAGGCCTGACTCCTTGAAGGAAGAAAGGAACTGTACCTTGTGAGGAAACAAAAAAGTAAAATGGAGACCAGATTTTACCTCAATAGATTTGGAGGAGGAAGAAGTTAGAGATCTCTAGAGTTACTGTACTATGTACTGGCTTAAATAGGGATTGATACTAGATGCTGAAGTATATAGGTACTGATAGGACTCCATCTTGGAAGCAACCAGCACTGAACTTTGGGTGACTACTCAGTAGACCAAAATGTCTTTCTCATACATATACCTAAGCAGTGCTTGGAAACTCTCCATCTGTGCATGTTAATGGTTCTATCCATTCAAGAACAGGAGTAAAGCATAGGAGAATAATGGTAATAGTACACATGGTTGTGTCACATGAGATGCTTTACTACGCAGAGGCACAGTTTACTGCTCAGTAAGCATGCATGTCTAGATGTGCACACACTTACTGAGCAGTAAATTTAGCTAATCTTGAGCAAATCTGTTACCTGCAAATGCAAGTAGCAAATGTACTTGCGATTAGTTACTGCATAGTAGCGCTTGTGTAGACACCTGACCAGGAACAAATCTGTTCCTGGTCAGCCACCCAGTAGGGGGAGGGACTTTACTTAATGCCCCTACAAGCTGCCTGCTGCTGGGGTGGGCCCTGCCACTGGAGCCTAGGCAGGGACTATGTACCCCTGCCATGGCAGTGGGGAGCTCCAAGCCCCCGCTCTGATATCATAATCAAGATCCTGATCTCCCAGCCCCCGCTTTGCCATCTCAACTGAGGAGAAGGGGGCTTGGAGATTCTTATCTCCAAGTGCCAGCTCTGCAGTCGTGGGGCTGGCACTGGAAGATTCTTTTCTCCCAGCATTAGCTCTGCAGTCGCAGGGCCAGCACTTAGAGATAAGGATCTCCCAGCACTTGCCCTGCGACTGGGGAGCTAGTGCTGGGAGCTCCCTGCTGGCAGGGGCTGTGGAGCCTGTTCCCTGCCTAGTTCCATGATCACATAGCTGGGTGGGGAACAGACTCTCCAGCTCCCATCCCACAATCATGGAGCAAGGGGCTAGGGACTATCCCAGTCAGGAGCAGGTCCCAGTCCCATGCCCTGATAGGGTGATTGAGGCATGGGGCTTGGAAAGAGCTGCAGGGATGAGGTAGGTCCTAGCCCCCTGCCCCATCCACTGTTGGGGCAGCTAGTAGCAAGCCCCCAGGTGGGTGGGGATTCCCCACTCAGCCTGGGGCTTGCTGCTAACTGCCCCATTGGTGCATCAGGTCAGGGAAATGGGACCTGCCCCTCCCCTGCAGCTCTTTCCAAGTCCCATGCCCCAGTCAGGAAGCCGGGGCCAGGAGTTCCCTGCTGCCAGGGCAAGGGGACATTTTTCCTGCCCCAGCAGCAGGCAGCCCCCCAGGAGCAGGGTGCAATGTAAACTGCTCCCATATCTAATGCACGTGTAGATGTACCCACACTGAAAGATACTCTGACAAACTCTTCTTTTGAAGTTTTTTTAATTTTGAAGTTTTTAAAATTTTGCTTCTGATATATTTTAGTATCTATATTAATATGCATATTTTAAACATGACTATAGATTTGCATAGACTGATTTTTGCTTGTGTTACAAAGGGCCTTGAGATATTAGCTTCAAGGGCAGTGAATAAACAGAAGCTGATTACTGTCATACTAAATCTGATCTCTAGCAACCATCCTAGTGTTCATTCTCTGGAATGTTTCAGTTCTATAAGTCTGTGATACTATTTTCCTTCTTTTTACCTTCACAGAATGTACACAAGGTTCTGAGCAAATCCAGCCATTTACCAGATGAGAAAAGGTTGGGAAAGTCTTCTGGGAACTGTAATTGTATACCTGAAATGTCCTTGTTTAGACTGTTCTCTGCCTGATGTGTTAAGGAGCAACAACAGCAGTTGCCCCCTATATCTGCATTTGCCAAAGTCTCCAGTTTGTTTGTAAATGTAATAGATAAAAAAAAAACCTTGTGATGAAGGACATATTGACACAATCTCCGTGCCATGTTGGGGAGCTTTGCTATGGAGCAGGCCCTTCCTGTTCTAGCCTACACGCACTCAGTCCTGGAACTGAAGCTACATTAGAGCAGGGGTTGGCAACCTACTACTGCCTATGGGCCGGATCCAGCCTACAAAACCAGGTGATCCAGCCCACAGACAGGGCTTTGGCAGTATGCTTCCCTGGGGAAAAGTGCTGCCTGCAGGCACTCTTCCTTTGCTGCCATGACCAAATGCCCTAGACTCGAATTGCGTTGATCTGGTCTGCAGCCTTTAAAGGTTGCTGACTGCTGCTTTAGGGTAATGCTGGGTGGGTGCCAATAAACGTGGGCAACACAGAGAGCTAAGAGCAGTGCTGGACACATACTAAGGCAAATACTCTGTGTATCATGCTCCATGTCAGAAGTGGGCATGGAGCAGGAGTAAGTAGGCAAGGCATGCTTTCTGGTGGCAGTCTGGGGGGTAGCATGAAGGTGGATTAGACATGCCTCAAAACACTAGATTGGGGCTCAAGGAGATTTGGCTTTAATTCCTGTGGTTTTTAGTGACCTTAAGCATACCACTTAGGCCCAGATTTTTATTATAGGGTCACAGGCGACTGGTAGGGAGGGCATGGGGGTGGGGGGGCACATGCCCCCCCCTGAGATTGGCCCCTGACTTGGCACTGCTTAGGATGGGGCAGTTTTTTTGCTGCACAGGCTGGCGGTGTGTTGGGGAGGCTAAGCTGTGGCACAGAAGTATAGGAGTAGATGTGGGACTTTTGACCTGCCCCCGGGCCCACCCACAAATTGTGCCCCCCCAGACTCAGGAGGCATCAGTCACCCCTGTATAGGGTCATAAATAGTCTCATTTTCAGAGGTCCTGATAAGGTTAAGTCATAAATGCAGAGTTGAAATCTGCCTAACTTGCCTAACATTTGCTGGTATTTGGTTTTAAGGCAATCTCCACGTCTGACATCTGTTACTGAAATCAGGAGTTGTTCTTTCTTGCCCAAATTCAAGTGAATGGGCTATAAATCCCTGTAAAAGGTTATAAGGATACTGTCCAAACCTGTCGTCTGAGCCCACAAACTGGATCAACCTCTTCTCTTCTATCTGTTGGACAAATCCATTAATTCTGTGTGTCTATGTCCAAAACAAGTGTGTCAGAGCTCTGATTTTTAACTCATCAAAAAAAAAAGGTATCTAAATGCAAATGAGAAACCCTATAAGAAGAAGCAAGTGCATAAATGTGATTGTGGGGGAAGCAGATTTCAAATTCAAGCTTCCAAAGGGGTGATTTTCCAAATAACAATTAAAAATGCTTGAAAAATTTGGAAGATGCAAATGCTTTGACAACATCTTGGAAGAATTTCCTATCTGATTAAAGCACAACTGTGCTAAAAGAGCTAATGCTTAATCCTAATCCTAGTTCTAAAAAAAGCAAAACTCCTGTGACTCTGAGAGAGGGAGATGAAATGCATATGCATAAACTTTGTAATTAACTGATGTTTTCCCTCATGAGTTGTTGGTCAGAGTCTCTAATGAGTTGCTCATGTTATCATGGAAAGACCAACTCATCATCTTTTATTTTTAAGAGACAACAGTGAGACTGTGGAGGATAAAACGGAAGTAGTGTCGGACACATCTCTTCCACCTTCAGATCTGATTGACTTATTGATATTGGAGGCTAAAGAGTTATTGGAGCCCATCCTATCGAACACAAAGGAAGGTAGGTTCTGTAAAAACCTCTCGGTAACCAGTCAGCTGTCCAGGGGTATTTTCAAAAGAAGAGTTCGAAGTTAAGCAACTCCAGAGCATATTCATTTTGGTGAAATTTACAGTGTCTCCCACCCCTACATACTCGCATGTTCCACCAATTTAGAATTTAGCAGGGGTCTCACTTGTGCATGAATGTGTATCTTACACTCCATCCCCAAGATGAGTTATTTTTGATCCGGTTTATGGAGTCAGAGCATACAGGAGTTTGAGGCAGTCAAATTAATGTAACTTGTCCCCAGGGAGTGGAAGAAAGGAGTTTAGCAAGAAAAGCAACAAACAGAAGGTAGAAGATGTCTTTCATATATCAATTCTATCAATTTAGACCCTTGTGGTACCTATACACATACTCCAATGTGTTCTGATTTCAATATGTTGGAGTGGATTTGATTAACTGAGTCTGCTGGAGCATCATAATTAGAACTCTCCAGCATGCTGTGGTGTCACATGTATTCACTGACCATGTGTTTCAAAACAGCAGCAGGGGGACTTTAATTAAAGCTCATCAGATGCAATTTTGAAACATGAGACTCTGAATACCTGAGATGCTGCAGTATTTTAATTAGAGTGGCTCCTGAGGGCTGTTCCAATTAAAACATGACCCCCCAACCTCCCCCCAACCAAAGCATGTGTATAGGCACCTTTGGAAATAGATTTCATAGATTTCATAGACATTAGGGCTGGAAGGGACCTCAGAAGATCATCGAGTCCAGCCCCCCGCCCAAAGGGCAGGAAGTCAGCTGGGGTCATAGGATCCCAGCAAGATAAGCATCCAGTT